TTGGCCTCTGTTAAGCTTTTCACTGTTAATTGGTGTTTTATATAAACCAAGCGTATAGTGTAGTATAATTGTCCAGTTAATCTCAGCCAGACGAGCAACACTCCAGTAAATGTTTCCATTTTCTGAAACAAGATTTTTCACCAGACAAATAATTTTCTGCTTACTGTGTGTGTGTGTGTGTGTGTGTGTGATAGGTGGTGGAGAGGGGTCTGCAGCATGTGCTGGTGTTGGAGGATGACGTGAGGTTTGAGCCTCGATTTAAAAGGAGGTTGCAGACCATCATGGAGGACGTTGGAAAAGCTCAGCTGAACTGGGACCTCATGTAAGAACAACACCAGCTGAAAACAAGCACATGATGAGACGTTTTCACCACTCACAAAAGCATAATTGATCTTTCTCTTTCTACATTTCTCTCTTTCTACTTCTCTCTCCATAGATATGTGGGCCGTAAACGGATGCAAGTAGCTCAGCCAGAGGTGTCTGTAGAGGGTGTTGATAATCTGGTGGAGGCTGATTACTCATATTGGACTCTAGGTTATGCCCTTTCACAGCAGGGGGCCAAGAAACTCCTCGCTGCTCAGCCGTTCGGCAAGATGCTCCCTGTGGATGAGTTCCTGCCAGTCATGTTCAACAAACACCCAAAGTGAGTGTGATGCATAGATGGATGCATGAATAGTCCGATGGATGGATGGATGGATGCATGCATGGATAGATCAGTGGATAGATAGATCAATGGCTGGCTGGATGATTAGATTAGATTAGATGGATGCATAGATGAATGGATGGATCAAACAGTGAATAGATAAATTGATGTAAGGATGGATACATTTTTTTCAGAAGCTTTTACACACAGGTACACATTGAGGCTGTACTGTTGAGTGGGACAGACACAATGCTAGATTGTTCAGAGAGGGGAAAAAGTATGGTGTCCCTTCTGGGTCACACAATGACTGCCTTTCTACCCAGTTTCCTCTATTGGGAGGCCTGCAAGAGGCTGCCTTCACTGGCCCTTCTCTCTCTCACCTAACACCCTCAGTTCCCTTCGGTCCTTCTCCTCTGTTGTCTTACATTCTCTGGGTCTCTCTCTCTACTGTGAGGAATTTTGGGAAGGGCCAGTTCTTCCTGTTCCCGGCATTCAAGGGACAAAATTCCCATTGATGGTTCTCTGGGTTTTGGGGGAAGGGCCATTGGTATAAGACAGATGGATTACTGTATAAATATACTCCACTTTCTGTGTGTTTGGGGTGTGTGTGAGAGAGAGAGAGAGAGAGAGTCATTGTGTACCCCAAAGTGTGTGAATTTAGTGTTGTATTAGCGCAAAATTTTTGTAAATAATGCAATGTTTTCATGTCGATTACCTAGCTATACCCATTATAGAATAATTTAATCTTACTAAATATACATTAATGTAAAACATTAGTATTGACGTTATGCAAATTTTAAGATGATATATACTACGTTTTAAAGGTTTAGGGTCAGTAAGATTTTTTAAAAAGAAATGAACACTTTTATTCAGCAAGGATGTATTAAAGTAATGGCTGTTGAAAATTAGCTTTGCCATCACCGTAATTCATTTAATAAAAACTTAAAATACAGTAATTGTGTAATTTTTCTCATGCCTTTGCTTTTTTCCTCTCTCATTCTTGCTCTCTCTCTGTCTCTGTCTCAGTGCGGCATACATGTCTCACTTTGATCCCAGAGATTTGCGTGCTTTCTCTGTTGAGCCGCTGCTGTTGTACCCAACACACTATACGGGTGAGCAAGGTTACTTCAGCGACACAGAGACCTCCACTATTTGGGATGATGAGGCCATCAGCACAGACTGGGACAGACAGTATGCTAAAAAAACTGCTCAGCAGGCACAAATTCGCTCCGTCGCTCAAAACAGCGTCACCGGGGACACACCACTGCCTGCATCCCGAGCCTCGCGAGACGAACTCTGAGTCCTAGACATGTTCTCAAACTACACAACTGAATGACAACACACACTGACTCATAGACAGCTCATTCCTCAAGTCCAGCAGTCCCCTCCTCCTTGGTGACACTTCAGCCAATAGCATGACAGCTGGCTGGGATGCTCGAACACCATTGGCTGGCTGGTTGATTTTGCACAAAGAAACACAAGCTCTTTTTATTTCCACTTTATTTATTTCATCATGTCTTCCAGAGACATTGAGGGACCAAACTGTCCCTGGTGGACACTTCAAAGTGTTAGAAGGAAGAAGACACTGCTGAAGGACTGGACGGAGGAACATAGACATATGGGAGTTAGATTTGGGTTTGCTAGTGGATGAACAGATGACAGACTAATCTTTATTTTAACGTTTTCTTTTATTTTGTAATGTAAAAACAGATATGGTTTATGTACTGAATAAAACACTCCTACAGCCTGTCCACATTTCTACTGTATATTATCAGGAAGGAAATTATATTTTAAGTTGAAATATTTTAATAGCATCACAAAATCACTTTTCAATGTTATTCATGTGTCAAATATATATTAGAACCATAAATTAAGAGCATTGATTACATACTTTTGTGGGGAGGTTGTTCGAATCTGCTCTGTTTTCACATAATTCAGTTGTATTTGATTTAAAACTCTAAAATGCATTAAATTGTCTTAAAAGGAGAACATGTGACCTTTGACACATTCACTGGTCATTAAGTATGTTTTTTATGAATAAGCGCAGCTTTACTCAATCTAGTTCAAAGTGTGTGTGAGACAAAAGGTGTTTCTGTGTTATTGTGAATATCATATTGTCACTAATTCCTTTCAGAATATTCCAAGAGGCTCATGTATCTTAAAAAAGTGTATGATTCTACTGGGCATTATGTCAACTATCATAATTTGGAATGGCTGAATGCAAACGCCATTACTTTTTTCAAACACACTCCTATTTTTCCACTTAACAGGCTGGCTCCTGTTCTCTGACAGTTGATTTCATTACCTTCTTTGATGTCTGAAGATGTCATGGTGCTGGTGGTGGGCTGATTCAATAAAACTGACTGATCAAAAATATAATGTGTCTAATGATGTCTGTGCAAGCCAATACAATAGCCTCAGATTCATTTTGGTGTATCAGCTACCTTTGTGTGCTTGGGTGGTCAACTGTCCTCTTCAGTGCATTTACAACAGCCTCTGGCTGTTTCTGTGCAAAAAACTCTCACTAGATGTGTTTCGAAAACCTGAAAACCATTCGGTGCAAAAGAAAAGTGCATGTGTTGGGTTATGGCTAAAACGGTCAGCTACTGCATTTGGCAACCAAAAACATGGCACACCAAACAATCTAAAAACATTGACCATAAATAAGCTTGCTGTTTCAGAATGTGCTGCCAATTTAATGTTTATGGCCAGTGAGTAAACGAGATGTTTACACAGAGCAGCCTGTGCCAAAAGTCTTCCCCATGTTAGTGTTGGTAGATTAATCCATTAGTTTAATTTACTGAGAAATTTAGTGACATTGTTGTGTCAGAGCAAAAAGACCAGCATGTCCTCCAACGAGTAAAGGTTTCACTTAAACTTCTTGGTAAAAGGTTTTATTAATTTTACTGGAGAGATTGACTATGAATTTCCTAAGTTCATATGAGACGTGAGCTACGTTCAGTCATAGCATGACACAAATATATAGTACAGTAGAATTATTAGCATATTATTTCGATGGTGCAAATTCAAATGTAAATGCTCAACGCAGTCTGTTTCCTAAATGTAGTGGTTCTTCCTCCGTGTTGTAATATTAGGAGACCCTGCCATCTGCTGGAGTATAGTGATGTTGCATTTCTTCCGTGAGAAGAAGTTCAAAGGTATGATGACTGATGAGTAATGAAGACCCAAATCATTAATCTTATCTCCGGCCATACTGGAATGTGTAATGTTTTCTGGGCTTTAGAGACATTTAAAGCAGTATTGAGGTGGGACAACAACACGTTTTTTTAAACTTCACACACATACACAAACCAAAAATGCTGGTTCATGCTCATTTGTACTGTGAAATGTATACAGGATTTAGTGTCTCTGTTTCTTGTTCTAACTTGATGGAAATAGCCTTTTAAGTTTTTAAATGTTAGTAATGTCTTGAAAAACAGACAGTTTATTTAGGTTTTATATCTTAGGCACATTCACAAACAATTTCCCATTATACACCCATGGCTGTCTCTGAGACAAATGTTTTTACTATGAGAGGAATGAAGGAAATACTTTATTTTGTGTGTGTGTGTGTGTGTGTGTGTGTGTGTGTATTTGTTATCATTATTTGCCATCAAGACAACATGATTCAGACTTCAAACACAAGGCCTAAATACAGATAACCTTTTCACAAGTTTGTTTTGAACCTGTCTTATAATTGTAAAACTATATATATATACAGTGGGGAAAAAAAGTATTTAGTCAGCC